TCGTCCCTTTTCATTGAAAAGGAACTTTTCGGCTTTAATTCAGATCTGACGGATCAGATCCGAATCCAATCTGAATCTGACAGATCAAATCTGAATCTGAATCCAAATCTGACTGATCAGATCTGATCCGAATCCAAATCCAAATTAGATCTGAATCTGACAGATCTGATCCGAATCCGTGCGGAACACTAATAATAGCCGTCTATTTAGAGAAATACATCTTAACTAATAACAATCCTTCTGACAACACCAATACCAACAAGTACTTCCCAAAGAAAGCTTACTAAGAGAACTCATAATCAAATAAGTCCGCTGAAAAAGAAAACAATTAATATTTTTTATTAAAATAAATACCTTTTTTATGAATATTTGTTGTCTATATCTTTAACCACTTCCTTCGTCTCAATAACCAAATCTTCTTGAAATGGTAGACCTAATTGTATCAAGTTTGCTACGATACACTTCTATGAAAAGAGATAGAACACATTATTTGTTCACTTACTTGCTTACAACCAAATGAGAGAGTTAAGTGTAGTTTACACTTTCAGAACTTCATCAAAATTGTACGAGATTACGAATATATTTGGTGAACGTAAATAACATTTTCATATAAGATAGGCTTTTATTTGATAAGATAAACTTTTATAATTAGAAAATATATACTTAACATATATAATCTTGAGTTGCTCTTAAATTTCAAACAGAATTTCTTTCCGTTAAAAATTTATCATTTGAATTTTGCATTAGGCCGGGAAAAAAAAAATTTCTAGATTCTCGTGACCCGACCGCCTCAATTTTTTTTTATAATAAAATTTTATCACGTAACTTAATATAATGAAAAATCGTAATAGCATATACTTTATTATAAAAAATTTAAACATACTATTTTCGTGAATTTTTTTGTTATTTGAAACTTGATATTCTTAGCACGTTTTTTTTATCAGAAACTGTCATATAACACTCACTATAATAATAGTAATATCCTTCATTTACCTTACTATTTGCGTAATACATAATACAAAACATAATATAAAAATGAGAAAACTTAACCTAGACCGGGGGGTTCAAGTTGCTTATCCTAGACCCTCAGGGTTCAGACTGGTTAATCTAAACTTGTAACTTAATTTAGAAATTCTATATTAATACATGATCTGCATATATTTATATTTACATCATAATAAATTTTTT